TAGTACTTAGTTATTGCTCCTCTTGTTTTGCCTTGTATCTCTTGCCTTGTTTTATTTTGTATTCCCAGTTCATGTACAGTCCTGTCCTGTCCATGTCCTGTTGTTGTTTCCCTCGTGTCTTGTGTACATGTTCTGGGTTCTTCTAGTCTTGTCTTGTTATCATGTTTGGTGCCTGTTCTAGTCTTACCTTGTTTCTAGTACTGGATACATATCTGCATAATATCAAGCTCCTGGGATCAGCAGAAGCTGCATCAGGTACCTGGTATGTGGCCGCACAAACCCTGGTGCTCAACACCAAGGGGCGTGTGGTTACCCTGCACCAGACCCTGATAGTTAATTTCCACGCTGTGACTCTTACCATCATCAGGTCTTCGGACCGCCACGCGTGACATCTAGTCCATCATCACTCAGATCATGGACTATCTCGTGTATCACTGTTGAACTCCACAGAAGGAATATTCCATTCCCAGCTTCTACCAGGAAAGCAAATTGTTCAGGCTACTGAATGTCAAAACCGACAACTCTGATGCTGGGGAAGGGCCTAGTGGATCCAGCCACCTGATTTCAAAGCCATGATGACCTCATTGTTATCATCTATTGGACTAATTCACTATAGGTTGGAGCAGTTGGAGTCAGCCAGCATGCTTAACGTAGATGCTATTGCAGCTGCATCATCGACAACCCCGGGTAATTCTTAAGTTCCACTGAAAGTTCCTGAGGTCATTAACCCATCGCATATGGTTCCAGCTCATATTAAGGACATTCTGGAGGGCAAGGATGTTAACCTTGTCTCACTCCTTATTGCCTCCCAGGATGTCATCGAGAATAGGACATATGCATATGGTGATATTTCAGTGGTGCTTAAAGTGAGAGACCGAGGTTGAATAAGAAATGATCTTTACCTGAGCTTGTACTGGTTTTCAGGATCTATAGGGATGTGTATTGTTCCATTTATCCTGAGAAGACAGAGAAACTGGATGTGTATATGCATAAGCTGGTGGACCTGGGGTACAAATATGGTGGTACGGCCTTCTACCATTACCACCATTCTTTTTCAGCAAAAGTGGCTGCAGCTCTGACTCAGTGTCCAGTTTATTCCAATCCATACTGAAGTTGAACTGAGTTATTCTGCAGACACTTTGCAGGCCTCAGTACCACGTCTTGTGCATTTTGTATATCCACATCACACTCCACAAACGTATGCCCTAATACGGCAGAAGTCCCACAGGGCCAATTTATTCCTTTCGCTCCCCCAGAGTCTATTAAGATAATTAAGGATAAGCTGGGTTGTGACATTGTATTTTTTGACAAGTCCCAAATATGTAATAATTTCAATGCGGGTACTTGTTTTAGTGCTTGCAGACTATTTCACATTTGTTCCTATTGTTTCCTTGCTTATGCCAAGTCCATGTGCCTGAATAAAATGTTCTCTAAACCATACCTAACAAGTATTAATATTGTATGTTTTGCTAAACTACTAAGGAGCTGCCCTTCACAACACTTGGTTAATTTTCTAATTGAGGGATTATCACAGGGGTTTCACACGAGCATCATTCACTTGCCATCTGGTATGCTTAAATGTAGTAATTTGCAGTCCGCTCTAGCAGATCCAGAATAAGTGGATAAATTGATAAAGACTGAGTTGGAACAGGGAT